CCCCTCCTCCTCCTCCTCCTCCTCCTCCTCTTCCTCCTCCTCCTCTAGGTCGCGCGACAGAGTGTTGGACTTTCGCGAATTAGGTCGCGTGTCAATTTGTTCCTGCTGCTCCTGCTGCTCCTGCTGCTGCTGCTCCTCCTCCTCCTCCTCTTCCCCCCCTCCTCCTTCTCCTAGTCATGTTACCCACCATGTTTAAGAGTTCCGTGCATCTGGACATGGGCAAGCGACCGACGGCCTGCCTAAGCGCGGACTCGATGGAAAGCGTGGCCGTCTCCTGCAAACGCTGGAAGGCGTCGGGGTCGGTCGTCTGTCCCAGAGCGACGGTCGCCACGAACTCCAGCCTAGTCTGGGAGAACTGCGGCAAGTCGTCTGCTCGCCGAGGGCCCGCAGGGACCGTCGCGAGCGCCGTCTCGCTTGCGGCGAACGGCGGGCATTGGTGGCAAGTGCTGCAGGAGGGGCGAGCCCGCTCGATCACCTGGCAGCGGCTGCGAAAATGGGAGGATGAGGGGGGGGATTCGAGAGGGCCCCAGCCGGCTCCAAGTGGGCCCCTTGGACGGCCCCCCTCTTCCTCCTCCCCCCCCATCGCCCCCCCCCTTTCAGGAGGAGGGGGTTGGGGAGCTCTCTTGAAAAGATTTGGGGTCCGAGGGCGCAGACAAGGCATGGGCAGATGCGGAGGAGGAGGAGGGGGAGGAGAAGGCAGGCGTCAGCGGGGCGGCCTACTTCGCCGCCAGTCCCCCGCCAGCCGCGACGAGCCGCCCACGGGAGAGCGAGTCGGGAAAGGGCGGGCCCCCCAAGCGGGCCCTCCCGGGGGGCCCAAGAGGGCCCGAACGGGGCTCCAAGAGGGCCTTGCAAGAGGGCCCGAACGACTCACACCAGGATCCCCTCTGGATTTAGGGGAGGGAAAAGAAGAGGAAGACGAGGGGGAGGAGAAGGGGGGGGAGAAGGAGGAGGAGGAGAAGGAGGAGGAAGAGAAGGAGGAGGAGGAGGAGGATCGAGGAGGAGGAGGGGGATGAGGAGGTGGCGGGGCCCGAACGACGCAGCCAGAGCACTTGGATTTATGAGCGGCAGAGGTGCACATGGCTTCGATCAATAAATCGTCTGGTTGGTGATTTTTCAAGCAAGCCTCGATGAGGAAGAGGAGGGAGAGGACGACGAGGAAGAGGAAGAGGAGAAGGAGGAGGAGGAGGAGGGGGCTATGCAACGACGGGAAGCAATCTAGTAAGTCCTGACCCGCGAGGCCCCTGCTGTCAGACGCGCATCGCATTCTTTTGTTTACATGTGTGAGGAATGAGAGGGATGAGAGGGCGTATTTGAGCGGCATGAGCAATAAGTCACATTATGAAACTGGTGAGTGGGCGCGTTCAAACGCGACGACGTCTGAGAAAATCTTCGGGGCACTGGGCACTGGGCAGGGGAGGTGCGGCCCGTGGCTGCAGTTGCATTTGCCCTTGGGCACCAGCCAGGGAACCCGCTGCTCCCGCCGGGGGGGGGGGCTGGGGGGAAGGTGTCGGGGTGGGGGGGGGGGGGGGGGGGAGGGGGGGGGGTTGATGGGGGGGGAGGAGGAGGAGGGGGAAGGGGGGGAGGTGGAGGTGGAGGAGGAGGAGGTGGGGAGGAGGAGGAGGAGGAGGAGGACAAGGAGAAGGAACAGTAGGAGGAGGAGGATGATGATGAGGAGGAGGAGCCATTTTTTGCGCAACCAGGGATGGCGAAGTCGGCCTGCTGCCTATCCAGTCGGCGGCCACGGTCTGGCGCGGCGCGCCTATTCCACTTAACTAAACGTTACCGCCGCGGCGAGCCGGCGGCGGGGGGCTTGGCGGCCCCTGGCGCACTGGCGCTTCTCACGGGCTGCTCTTCGCGCGATTGGACGCGGGCTTCTTGGGCGGCGGCTGCGGGCGCGAGTTGGCTGCAGGACGCTTCTTGAGCTGCTTCGCAGAGACCTGGGGCGCATTGGCCTGCTTCTTGCCGTTCTTCTTCTGGGCCGGCGTGGGCGAGTGCTTCGGCGGCGATTCGGCGGCGACCGAGTCGGAAGGGCCGCCCGGCGGGGCAAACCCGCGCGAGCGGCCGCCCGATGGGGCTCCTGTCGCGGCGGCGCGGGGTGCGCACGTGGTCGGGGAGCTCGTCGTCATTGCGGTGCCCCTCGAAGCAGTTCATGCACACGCCGAACCGCGAAGGATGCGACAGGGGCACGCGCAGCGTGCTGATGTCCGCAAACTCGCGGCGGTGCCACCACTTGCCGCATCCGACATTGCCGAGCCCGCCAGCGTCGAAACGACACGGCCAACGGCGCCGGTTCTCTTTCCACAATTCGCCGCGGTACATCGCTGGAAGAGACCGAGAGGCCACAGTGCGCATGGGCTGCGGCGAGCCGAAGCGGCTGCGGCATCCCTCCTCCTCCTCCTCCTCCTCCTCCTCCTCCTCCTCCCCCTCCTCCTCCTTCTGCTCCTTCTCCTCCTCCTCCTCTTCCTCCTCTTCCTCCTCCTCTTCCTCCTCCTCCTCCTATCCTTATTCCTTATTAGAATATACTCCTACTCCCCCCTCAGGCCGGCAGATAGCGGGCGCGTCCGGGTGGTCCCATCCTAACCTGTAAAAAAACAATACAAAATCAACATGTTTCTTATTTTTTCTCTCGACATGGACGTCCTGTCGTCCACGGCGATAATCCATTGGAAAAAATACCACAAAGAGCACGCGCGCGCGTTCATGTCAGAATCCTACCGAACACCGTGTGTTTGCAAGCATTTCAACATACAAACATCAAAAACCCAATGCCTTTTCACAAAAAAAATGTACAAATTTCCCGCCTGGGCTCTCTTGCTGAAATCATAGGAAAATGATAGGAATCTTAAAAATTCGGTCAAATCCAGCGATTTCACGTCATCGCGCGGTGCACTCGCGATGCTCTGTCATGCACCCAGGCCGCGAATCCTGTGCAAAAAATACCACAAAGAGCACACTCGCGCGTTCATGTCAGAATCCTACCGAACACCGTGTTTTTGCAAGCATTTCAACATAAAAACATCAAAAACCAAATGCTTTCTCACAAAAATGCTTTGGGGTGTCCTGTCAGACCGTCGGGCTTCCTCCGGCCACCTCTGGCTTCCTGCGGTGTACCGGGCCATTCTCGACTCGTCTGGCAATGCGTGCGCGGCATTCAACACGCGCTCGCCAGTTCCCGTCGGCAACCGCCATCGCGGCCGCATCAGCTGTACCAAACCGGCTGGCCGGTGTGACTTCGGCCCCCAGTTGTGCCAGCTTTGCTTCTTATGTTGTGGGAGGGCGGGTGGGACTGGGCATGCCATGCTTGACTCGCTCGAGCTGGCTAGCTTGACTCCTACTCCTACTCCTACTCCTACTCGTACTCCTCCTCCTGCTCCCCCCTTCTTCTCCTCCTCCACCTCCTGCTCCTCCTCCCCTTCCTCCTCCCCCACCTCCTCATCCTCCTCCTCCTCCTCCTTCTCCTCCTCCATCTCCTCCTCCTCCTCCTCCTCCTCCTCCTCCTCCTCGCTGGGCCAATGTGGTCCCAGGGTCAAGCCACCCCCGAGCCACCCCCAGGGTGGCTTGGGGGTGGCTCGGGGGTGGTCTGGGGGTGGCTTGGGGGTGGCTTGGACCTCCTGGCTGAGTGTTTCTGGAAGTGGAAGGTAGCGGGTCTCCGGAGGTGGAAGAAAGCGGGTGTCCGGAGGTGGAAGGCGAGGAGTGTCCGGAGGTGGCGCGGCGGGTGTCCGGGAGGTGGCACAGCGGGGGTCTACGAATCAAGCGATACGTTGGCACATGATGAATACGCGTCGGACAATGAAAGGTCTCAAACTGACGATTGTTGTTGTTGCTGTTGGTGTTGTTTATGTTGTTGTTGCTGGTGGTGGTGTTATTGTTATTGTTATTCGTGTCGTTGCTGTTGCTGCTGATGCTGGTATTTTTGTTGTTGCTGTTGTTGTCGTTGTTGATGTTGTTGTTGGTGGTGGTGTTGTTGCTGTTGCTGTGTTTGTCGCTGTTGTTGGTGATGTTGTTGTTGGTGGTGGTGGTGGTGCTGTGTGTGTTGTTGTTGTTGCTATTGCTGTTGCTGTTGCTGCTGCTGATGTTGATGTTCTGACTGTTGGTTTGTAGTTATTGCTGTTCTGATTGTCGCGGTTGGCGCTGCTAGTTAACTGGCGCGCTCGCTGGTGGAGGGGGGAAGGAGGAGGGGGGGGAGGCGGGGGCGGCATGCTGTTTTCTCTCTGGTAGCGCGAGAGCGGCAAGCCGTCTCTGCGCGGGGGCCTGCTCGCAGGCGCCCGTCGCCCCTGCTCTGCGTGAGACGCGGCTCGCAAGCGTCTTGCAGATAGGGCGGTCGTTCATCATGACATACGCCTACTCTTCTGGCCCATCCTTTGCGTACTCTCTGAGGGCCGCCTTGCGGCGCACGCGCAACTCCTTGCTCTTCTTGGTCCAAGCGTCGGCGTCCTTGAAGCACGTTGCGATGGAGGCCGACGCCCCCTGGCCCTTCTCCTTCAAGTCGTCCAGGGCGGCCTGGATGCGCGGGGAATTTTCTGCAACTCCAGGGCGTTGTCCAGGAGCCTCTTCGGGATGCTCTCCCTGTCGGCAAGAGCCTCTACCATGATGCCCTCGAACTCAAATTCTGCCTTCGTGAACTTGTCCGCCCCCGCCTTCGCGCGATTCTTCTGAGCGGGCGTCAGCTCCTTCGGGAGGTTCGGCGGCGGCCCACCGCGGCCGCGGCCGCGGCCGCGGCCCTTGCCGCTGCCGCCGCGGCCAGTCGGGGCCCCTGCGGGTTGCCCCCCTTCGGCTGGTTCTCCCGAAGGTCCCCCGGAACCGTCCTCCACGGCCTCGCCGGCCGACTTTTTAGGCAAGCGAGTTTTCTTGGCTTTGACGGCTTCCTCAGCATCGATGGTGCGCTTCTGACATTCGCGCTGGCTAGATTTCTTCGTCACATCGAGCGTGTAGGTCGGAACCCGCAGCATCTCGCAGTCGTAGTGGGCCGAGTGAAACATATAACTGTTGAGCTTCAACTTCGCAAGGTCCTCCAGCTTGGACGGGTTCCCCTCCGCCTCTTTCTCCAGGTCCTTCACTTTGTGGACGTTCCCGTGCGAGGAGAAAGCGATCGACTGCTCCTTGGACATATCCTGCATGATCGTTGTCGTCAGGTGGCGCTTCAGGTGCTCGCCCTGCAACTTGTTCGCGACCTCGAAGAACTCGGCGCGGGTTGGGGCCGACATCTCGCCCAGGCCGCACCGGAGGTGGTCGCCAGGCTCGGTCATCCTGTAGATTTTCTGGCGCGTCGAGTTGCAGGAGCTGCAGCGGAACGCGCCCTTGGCGCCCGTAAACACGTTCTGCCCCTTGATGGTGATGCAGTCTGTCTTGGGCTTCTCTCTGGCACGCGCGGCGCTTCACCAGGGCGACGTCGTCGGCAGTGACCTCCGCCCCGCCAGCAACTGCCGCATGTAGTTCGCTCTCCACCAACGTAGCAGCCTCTTGTACCTTGGCGGCCTGCACCTTAGGGGAACCCCTCACTGTCGAGGCTGGGCTGGTCGCGCTTGCGGCCCTGGCTGAGACCGGTGACTGGCGGGGGGCAGGGCGGCGCCCGCTGCCTGCAGCTGGCTCCGTGGCGCGCGGAGACCCCCCCGCCATGCGATCGGGGGAGGTGAAGCGCGTGTGCGGGGGCGGCGAGGAGAAGCCAGACATGCTGACGCCGGGGTCGCCTAGCGAAAGAAGGGCTTTGGAGCCGCTCGAGAGCGCTCGGCGAGCCGAATTGCTCAAACGCCTGCAGACAAGACGAGACAGAAAGAGGCGAAGGCGTCGCGGGAGTAGGGCTGGGGCCGTCGAAGGCCAAAGTGGCCAAGTTGGAGGAGGAGGAGGAGGAGGAGGAGAAAGGAGGAGCAGGCGTAGGAGTTGGCCCTTCCTTTGGGTAATCGGCGGCACGATAGATTTGCATTTAGGAAGCGTGAAATTGAGAGGGCAATTTCTGAACAGTTTCGTCGCGTTCGGGCGCGACATCCGGGTTCGAGCGGGGACTCATGCAAACGCCCTGGGTGCTAGCGCGGAGCGTGAGCGTCCGTGGCATCATGGCGCCACCGCCACCCCGCCGCCGCAGCCGCGCGGACAGGAAGTGTTTTTAAGGGGTAGGTCTCTTGCATTGCGGGAGACCTCAGTTGCGTTGAAAGCATTGAAAGGAGGAAGAGGAGGAGAAGGAGGAGGAGGAGGAGGAGGGCGAAGAGGACGAGGAGGCGGGGGGGGAGGCCTACCCATTGCATCAAATTTGGGGGGGGGGGGGGGGGGAATGTTGGATCCGCGGTTTCATTGCCGGGCTTGCCCTAAAACATCTTCAGCGCGTTAGTTGATTGTTGGTCTGCTCGGGGGTGGCCGAGGCGGCGCGGGGGGAACTTGGGGCTTCTGCGGTGCTCCCCCCAAGCCGCCTTTGGCCTTTGACTCCTCCTCCCCCCCCCCCCCCCCCCCCTCTCATCCTCCTCCTCATGGGGGAGGGGAAGATGAGGATGATGAGGGGGGGGGGGGGGGGGGGGGGGGCGGAGAAGGAGATAAGGAAGAACATGGCATGAGGGAATATGTTGATAATGGCCATGCTGTTGTTGTTGATGACGATGATGTTGATGATGGCTGGCGGTGTTGATCATGGTGGTAACGCTGCTGATGATGATGGTCATCGATGTTTTTGTCATCGGTCCGCAATGCTCGCCACCTTCTGAGCGCATTATTATCAGGCCACAACAACGCCTGGTAAATCGGGAAACAGCGGGCGCACGCTGCCGCTGCGGCGCTCAATGTACATGAGCGAACTCACGAACGCTTCCACTGGGAACACTTGCTTGCAACCCGTTCGCCTCCACGCACCACTCCCGTCGGGGCCGAGAGGGTCCACGTGCGCAAAATATCTCTTGCGAGTCGACATCATCAGCTCGGCCTCAACGAAGGTCACCGCAAGGCCAACGCGGCACTTGGCCACGTCACTCGTGCGGAGGAGCACGTAGGCCCCAGCGGCGATGGTGCCGCGCTCGCACATGATGCCGGTAGCGGTGCGCCCGACCCGATCGCTGGCGTCGGCGCACGCTGCAGCAACCAGTCGCAGCAGGTCTCGCGGAGCCGCCTTGGTGGCCCCCTTCAGATAGACGGGGATCACGTCGTTCTCGCCGACCTCGTCCTCCTTCCAGTACATCAGGACGGCGCGCCGCACGACGTGCTTCTCCCACCCCTGGCCAGGCGCGTGCAATGCGAGCGCCTTCGCCAGTTTGTGTTTCCGCTCAGGCGCGAAACACGAGAGCATGACGCCCCGCCGCTCCCACCCGTCGGGCACGCGGTGCGCGAGGTGGATCTTGGGGCGGCATTCGGAGGCCCCGTAAGCAGCCACGTAGGCGTCGTGGTGGGCGTCAATGGTGGCCCTCAGAGCGGCAGGGGTACAGCTCGGATAATCGTGTGTGATCAGGTCGCATACCTTAGCCAGCAGCACGATGCTCTGGCGCGAGTCAAGTAAAGCAGAGCTCACGCCCAAGACGTCGAGCGTGAATTGCCGGAGGATGCGGGTCGCCACAAGCGCCTCGCTGGCGAAAGCCTTGATGTGGGTGGAGCCCTCAAGGATGGTGCGGTCCGTGAAGAATGTCTTATGGATGCCGTGCGTCTGGGGGGGCATGCGGACGCGCTTGGCGAACCTGTCAAGATTCTCCGCGCCAGCGCCGGCCGCGGCAAGGGAGCACGATAGAAGATTGATCTAGTGCCCAGCAGTCCCCCCCGAGGCCACGATGCAATGCATCCAGTCCCAATACGTGGACTCCGGGGCGCTCATGAGGGTTCGGATATGCGGGCCCAGCAAAATCCCGTCGGGGTCGTGCCAGATCCCACACTTCATCTCCAGCGCCTTGAACCTCCCTGAGGCAAGCGCTGGATTCGCCGCGTGTAAACGGTCGACCACGTGGTTGAAAGTCTCCGCCGTGTGCGGAATGAAATCCGTAGACAAGGCCGTGGCGAAATGCTTGGCCCAGGCGCCAGGTGCTACCTTTTCCATATCTGTCTGCACGACGTTTCTACAATAGAGGCAAGGTGGGAGACTTTGGACGGCGCCCATGAGATTCCAAGTGTGTTTGTGGGCCCGTTCATCTTGTATCATTGGACCCATCTTTGCTCGGAAGAAGAAGAAACGGCCGCCTCCGCATGGAGCTCTGAGGCCGCGCGCAAAACTGAAACCCTGCTCAGAGAAGAGCTGGCGGAGAGCCACTTTTAGGACGCCGCCCAAGCCGCCCTCGACGGAGCTCTGGACCACCAACCGCAGATACCCCATCGGAAACCATCCCAGAGCGCGGGCTCGGAACCACGCCGGCAATTCCAAGAGTGTCCAATAGAGGCGCTTGTCGGAGCCCGACGGGCGCATTTGGTTGCCGGGCGTCGTCTCGTCTGTGTAGAACGCCACAGTCAGGACCCCGCCAGAGGCTTCAACTGCGGCGCTCAGGAGGGTCGAGAAGCGCTCGCTCGCGTCGCACCTGCGAAGGCGGAGAAAAAAAGAAAGAACGAGGAGGGGGAGGAGGTGGGGGAGGAGGAGGAGGAGGCTATGCAACAACGAGAAGTAATTCAGCAAGTCCTGACCCGCGAGGCCCCCTGCTGGAGGAGGAGGGGGGAGGGGGGGGGGAGGAGCAGCAGCAGCAGGGGGATGACGACGAGGAGGAGGATGAAGAGGATACCTAGGAGGAGGATCCGGAGGGGGATGGGGCCAGGGGAAGCAGGAGGAGGAGGAAGACGACGACGAGGAGGGGGAGGAGGAGGAGGAGGACGAGGAGGAGGAGGAGAAGGAGGAGGGGGAGGGGGAGGAGAGGGAGGAGGGGGGGGGGGAGGAGGAGCAGGAGGAGGAGGAGGAGGAGGAGGGTGAGGAAAAGGAGGGCGAGCAGTGGCAGCAGCAGGGCGAGGAGGAGCAGGACTGGACCAGTTGTAGACGAAGGCCAGCGGATTCACGATCTCCCAGTCGCGGTCAGGCCCGCCGTCGTTGTCTGTGCGAGGGGGCAGCGGCGTGCCCCCAAGGCGGGCTCGCCCCCTGTCGAGGGCGAGGGTAAGGTGCGGAGGCGGGGGAGGCGAGGGAGGCGTGGGGGCGGGGGATGAGAGGGCGAGGTGTGGCAACGGGGGGGGGAGGGGGGGGGGGGAAGGGGGGGGCCTTCTGATTTTTTAGGTGAGAAATCATTTGGTGCATGTTGGGAGGCCCTCTTGGGGCCGTTTGGTTTTGGCCGGCCCCCGGGTGGCCGCGCAAGCCCCCCCTGTGCCAGCCTGCGCGGTGGCTACCCCCTCGCCAATGGCAACTTCACTACATGCAGCGCGTTGCCATACGGGGTCCACGGGTCGGCCGAATCGCGCGCGCTCTTCTTGAGCTCGCGATCGCCAACCCCTGGAGGCGGGCCACTTGGTTGATGGGCGCGGTCGCCTCGCGAGCCACGTGGTCACGCGAGCGTTTCAAGCTCGGGGGGGGGGTCATTCCCGACGAATTGGGGAGCTTCGGGCCAAAGCCTTCGACGGAGGAAAAGGAGAGAGGAGGAGGGGTGATTCTCCTGACGGAGCCCGCCAGGGGCCTGCGGAGGCCGAGAAACGGTAAACAACCGCCCCGACTTCTCGTTCGGGGCGTCGCGTGCTTGGGGCGCCCGCCAGGGAGGAGGAGAATGAGAATGAGAATGTCGGTTCACTAAGCGAAGGAAAAGTGAGCCCTTAAGCCGAGGGGGTGGGGTGGCTCAGTTCTGTAGAGCGCCTCGCCTTCTCAGCCTTGGAAAATGACTTGGGCCCCAGATCTAGGCGGATGGATTTCAAATACCCCCCCCCCTGTCGGCGTGGCTCGTTCACAATCCTCACGCAATTTACCCAGTCCCCAGCCACGTGCAGCCAGTGCCCGAAAAGGAATGGCGTGGACATCTCCATTTATATTCAGGGGCTCGAAACAAGGCGATCCTTGTCGCGTGTCAGGTTCCTCCTCCTCCTCCTCCTCCTCCTCCTCCTCCTCTTTCTCCTCCTCTTCCTCTTCCTCCTTCTCGTCCTCCTTCTCCTCCTCCTCATCGCCATCATCATCATCATCGTCCTCCGCCTCCGCCTCCTCCTCCGCCCCCCCCCCTCCTCCTCCTCCTCCCACGTCGGACAAGTTTGCGACATTGGGGGTCTGGGGTCCAAGGTGGCGTGAATCGCTGGCTGCGCCTCCTGGCGCAGTCTGTCTTCGGCGTCTGCCTTCGGCTGTGCTCGAGAGGGGGCGCCCAAGAGGGGCATGTGCAATTCATGGGCGGAGGCGCGC